AGCAATCAGCTAATCGACTAACAACCGGGTTTCGATTTACTGCTCGGTAAACAGAGGCATTTATTTTAATTTCACATTCCCTTCACCTCGCTCCCTCCCCTGCCTCCTTCAAGGCACGTCTCAAGACCCTCTTCTTCGACCGTGCCTTTGGTCAACCTCCCACAGTCCCTTGCCCTCCACCCTCCCTTACCCCAACCCCACTCCCCTGCTCGGGTGCAAATCCGTGACTGTCCAGTGCCTTGGGACGTCCTCCCGACGTGAAAGACGCTGTACAAACGCAATTTTGTACTGTCTTGTGTTGCTTCAAACTGGACTTGTCAAGTTTTGTACCGGCTGAGGTGAAAATGTACCAATTAAGCCTCGTGTTTGACAACATCGAAAAGTCTCAAAGCAAACTGCTGTCAATGTGGAGGATCTGCAAGTCTGTCGGGCGAAGGCAGCGGCCGATTTGTCCACAACCACGTCTCCCCTTCAACAAAGATACTTTAAAACCAAAAGCCTTTAGCATACTAGTGAGAACATGGGGTGACACAGCTCAGTCACTGCCATAACGCATCACATTACTGCCTGCTGCAGAAACCCACACTCCAACCCAAAGCGAGCGAAAGGCAGCAATCAACAGATCACGAGAACCATTAGCTTTCAGCAACAACATTTACATATTTCGCCGTATGGAACACACAAAATACAAACAACGAGGAGCAATTAGAGCTTTTACAGCGAGTGCCTTTTTAAAAACTGAATTCCATCTCTGCAATCCATGCTTCTTGTGTTTAAAAAGCTCTCAGACAGCAATCAAGAAACAATGACACTGATTCATACAGCAGAATCCATTTTAATCCGTTACCCCCCCCCCCCCCCACCGGTCCACAGCCGGATATTGAACTGGAAGAGAATAAAATATTGGCACTTCTGCATTTTTTAAGAGCTGGAGATGGACCTTTTGGAGCTTTGCAGTGGATGTTCTTTTTTTCACCTTTCTTTTCACAAAAAAATCTGCAGGAACTAATTTTTCCTGAGAGCTCAGTGCTGAGCTGAGTGCCCCACAAACAGTCGGGGATCGAGTGACCCAATTTTTTTTTAAAAAGGGACCATTACTCCCGAAAAAGTGATCCGCCAATCGACTAACAAGCCAGGTTCCTACTTATCGCTACATAAACAGAGGCGTGTGGAGTAAGGAAAGTTGCCGTATGTTTCGTCCTGCCCAGGAATCGAACCCAGGTCCTCTCGCTTGCGAGGCGAGTGCTCTAACCACTAAGCTCCAGGATTCCATTTTGAAGTTAGTGTGCACTGGAATTCATTTACGCAGCTTGGAACGAACTCGTACTAATAATCCTTGCATTTGGCTCTGGGTCTATAAGACCAAAGTGCTTTGCAGGGAATTGCTGTCAAAGAGTAGTGACTGTGTATTGTGTACTGAAACGCGGCAGCCAATTTGCACGCACCAATGTCCCAATTGCTGTGTTTAAAGTCTCATCCGAAGGACAATGCAGCATTTCTTCAGCACTACACAGGAGCTCTGAGCTCATGTTTGACGTGGGAATTGAGACCAAAATCCTTTGAACCAGAGACATGAGTGGTGACTGACTGAGCCAACCTTTAAAATCAGTGATGGGATCATCGGGTGAGGGATAAAGGCAGTAAATAGAGTATATTTTGCAGTATTTGCTGATGTTTTGCTCGGTCTCCAATATAGTTCCTGCTGACCACAATTATTGTCTGACAACTATTGATATTTAACACAGAGAAAGGCTAGAGGCTACATCAATGGTGAGGAAGTTCAGCTCTGTTGCCCCTGACTTAACCAGAAACACTAACACGCTCATGTCAGAAGCCACTGGCCACTCTCCCAGAAAGATGTGCGTGCAGCAGAGCTGTGAAAAGCCTGAAAGCAGCAATAGAACTAATTTATTACAATGACCCGGGGCAGGACAGCGAAGGGGGACATGCTGAGAGAGACTGTGGTGGGTTTGGGGGCGGTGGGATGACGCAATGGAAAAGCCTCACTGCGAGAGGTCAGTGTGAAGCAGAGGGCAAGGGGCAGCGTGCGAGGGGGTGGGGGTGGGGGGGAGAAGCAGGGAGAGAGCGAGGGTACGGCGGGGAAACGGTCATCGGCGGAAGCCGGGTTGGTTCATCGCACAGAAGATTCTTGAGCCGGAGGGGACAGGACACGTTTGATAAGGAATTTCCAGAGGCAACAGCAACTGGAAGATAAAGGTCCCAGTGCCGGACTTCAACAACAACAACAACTTGCGTTTATATAGCGCCCCTCGCGCAGGGTAGCGTCTCAGAGCGCCTGGACTGGCCAAAGGGGTTGTGGACGGTGCAGGGAGTTCCAGTGTATGTAGGTGGCTTTCCATCTGGCAAAGTCCACTTGCAAGCGGTCCGCTGAATGAAGCAACCCGTCCGGTCTTTTCAACAGAGAGCGAGCTCGGGTGCGTCTGTGCAAGTTGCCGATTGATTTCAGGCCAGCTGTTAACTGGAAAGATTCATTGTCGTGAAACAACGGACATGAAACTGAGCTGCCTCATTACACGGTCTCCTCGGCCACTGGGAGTCGCAAAACTAATAGAATCGATGGCAAAGACAAGGCAACAGCGTGCCCCCATGAAACCGCGCACAATTTCTCTTTTGCAAACCGTGTTGAGCACTGCGCTCCATCTCTGCGGGGAAGAGCAGAGAGCTTGCATCTGTTCGAGACACTAAACAGCTCGAACATCTGCGGCGGATCTGACACGGAGCGCGGGGGAAAGCTCCTCTTTGCGCATTAACGTCAACTGGGGCTGCGCTGCCGTTTTTAACTTGCTCTGTCAATCAGCAGCAATAGCAAATGGACGTGAAGTGGGGCTCGACAGCGCAGCGGGTTCATAACCGGGAGAGAGGCACGCTTTCCCTCTCGAACCAGCCGTTCGTCGGCCTAATTTGACGACGGAATGAAATTGACTGTCGGTTAAAAACAACCCCCCCCCCCACCCAAAAAAAAACCTTCCCGTCTCCAGTGCATTCGTGAGGCCCAGCATTTTTTACCGAAGTGATACGAACCCGTGCATTTGATGTGGCGCCTACGACATCCCCCAAGCCACCCCCCCCCACCTCCCCTCCCCTGACTGATCAGCTTGAAGAACATAGTGTCCAGAATGTGCGTGCTGAGCCTGCTCTCTGATTGAAACACTTGGCAAGGCCGTGGCTTGAATGCAGACCAAGACCACGTTGACTCCTCGTACTGGGGATAAACCCACTCCAGGAGGCTCCTCGCTGTTCTGCCAACAAATAGCATCACATCCCATTTACGCTCTTGAATCATGTTGTGCAGGAAATTGGATTGATCCTGCAGAAAAGGGGGGTCAAGTGGTGGCAGGACTTGATAAAAATAATAATAATGGCGTTTGATATAGCGCCTGATCACGTCTTCGAGACGTTCTCAAAGCGCTTCACAGAATATACTGCAAAGTGAATTGACTGCGTATTTTAATGAACCTTTCTACGAGCCCAAGCCTTTGCCCTCCCCAACTTTCCAGCATTAGGGTGAGCAGTGTGCGTCCCTTAGGGAGAGAGTGTTATACCCTCTCCACGCCAGACAAACGGAAATTTCCAATGCTTGAGTGGAAAGCTCTGTGGTTCAGTTTGCATACTCTTAAGCATGGCTTGTGTGTGTGTGTGCGTGTGTCTTTGTGTTTGTAAAGATATTTTGAATCACCAAAATAAAAAGCTGGTCGACTGGTCTCAACCTGCCTGCCTTTAGCTCATTAACTCGAACTTGAAGGAGTAACTAAGTCGGTGCTTCTTCCACAAAAGACTTGCGATGATTCTGCAAGTAACCCTCTGAACCCAGCTAAAGTAGCGACAAGTGTACTGGTGGGTCGTACGAATAAAGCAGGCAGCTCCATCACTGAACGGTAACAACCTCCTCACTGTCGTCGGTTTCAATTTATTAAGTCTCCTGTGAACAACACTTTTTTTTTGCCTGTAATAAACGTGCCTCTCCAAAACCAGTGTGTTCGATGCTACTGTACAATGGAGCGAAGCAGAACTGCACTGTCTTGATTGCAAATAACGAGATCCTAGGTGGCCAGTAAATTGGTGCCTTGACTGGCCTCGTGAAGTGCCACTTTATCTGCGCTCCAACCTTCCTCCTGCCCTTGAAATGCAACCAGATGAAATTGCTCCCATAAAGCCTTACTGGTTCTGAAGTGTTGTCAAAATGATAAGGGCCAGCACTTTGTTATCCCGCCCAACGTTGCTCCTTATGTGGGCCTTCAGCTTCGACGAGACTGAGATTTTGAGTTAGAAAGTACTACTTGTGCGGCTGGGAGAAGATTGAACATCACATGCCCGGCCTTGAGCCGCCAGTGAGTGACCCACGACAAGCTTCGTCACACGAAGGGGTTGCAATACCTGGATTCCCGATCCTGGGATCCCAAAGGGTAATGGTGCTCCTGAAATCCTGGGATTCTTTGAAGAGAATCCTGGGATGTTGGGAATGTATAAAGGCCGAGCCGGGGGGACTGGCTGGTGTTTAAACGCTGGTGCGGAGAACAGCCCCAGGCGTTCCGGGACAAGGTAAGATTCGGGATCCCGGGATTCGGGGCATTAAAATCCCAGGATTCCGAAAGATCACCGGATTGCAACCGGATGTGCACAGTCCTTCGTTTGCAGATCGAAAATTTTCAGGTGGTTTTTTGACCCGACAGAAGGATTTCACACCCTGTGTTTTTATTGCACCGACTCTGTGTGCGCAGTTGAGAGCCTGATACCTGCAGCAATTGGGACTTGCGCTTTGTACACTTGCGTGGATGTGCGTCTAACTGTGTACTTACTGCTTAAGGTCTCGCTCTTGGTCGTGAAATTACAAACGTGCTCGGACGCCCGAACTAACCGTTTCCTCTGCCATTGTTTCTCACGTGAAACCCGATGCGGTTAAGGGGACAGGCGGACAGTGGGTGTCTCACTGTGTTGACAACTTCGGCCCCAGCTCTGTCGAGGAATGTGGTGGGTCTTACCTGGGACATTGTGGATGGTGATAGCTAGAATAAGCAGCAGGATGCGCTTCCAGCTATTGTGTTGCTGTTCGGGGCTGAGCTTTGGACTGTGGACTGAGGGCAAATCCTCCAAGTAGCTGGGCTGCTGTCCTCTTTTTCTCTGGTACACGTCCCCATTTTCTAGCTTGTCTGAAAGAACAAAGAACAATCGGTAAGAAGGGTGGGAAAAAAAATCTGCTCGGGACAGAATAAAATTCGGTCGACGGGCGTGGGGGAATTGCTCATTTTCTACGTCGCCTTCACTGGGCGGCAAACCATCGCTTAAGTTTCTTTTAAGGGAATGGAACTGAATCGAGCTCATTTAGAAGGGGCAGTCCAGCCACAACAATTGACCTAAAAAGAGTTACCAGTTCCCTGAAGCTCAGACGTACAGATTTATTACAGCCTTTGGCTCATTGTGAGCCCAGGGTCTATCAGTTTCAGAGCCTGCACGTCCACTGTGCACCCCCCTCACTCCTGCCCCTCCTCACAGAACTCTAGAAAGCAATCCACAATCAACGTTCCTCCTCTTTCTTGCTGCCCGTGACACTGTGACCGATCTGAATTTGAAGCCCCCACTGAAGGCGAGACACACACAAACTGACGAGATAATAATAGTCCTTGCATTTGATACAGCGCCTTATCACGTCTTCGAGGCGTTTCAAAGCACTTCACAGAATATAGCATAAAGTGAATTGACTGTATATTTTGTGGGCGAAACGCAGCAGCTAATTGTGCACAGCAGCGTCCCCACATTGCTCAGAAACAACAGAGATTGGGACGGGTGTCTCGGTCACGAATTGCCTCTGGAGCCCTGAGCAGATTCATGGAGAACGAGCGTTTTTTTTATTTAAAAAATGGCGGGCTGCTCCGAGCATCTCCTTAAAAGGGCAAAATCTTCCATCAGTGAGTTCCACATGCTCACCATCCTGTGCGTAATAGAAGTTCTGCCATAAAACTCCCTTTCAGACCAGTTCGTGGCTGTCTTACAGTTACACCTCGTGCTCGTGTGTGAAAGATCTTCTGCACTCCCATCAACTCTTCCAGTCACACTCCTCACTGAGCGCGGTAACCAGCCAACACAATGCGACGAGAGACACTGAGCATGAACCTTGGTCCACCACCTCCTGTTCTACTTAATAACAAGATCTGCATTACCACAGGTTGGGACTTCAAAGTAAAATCTCAAAGTAAAATCACACCCTGGCATACGGGAGCTTGAGTGTGAGGTGCCGAGGCCACTTGAGATTTACTTTGAAGACTGGAAGTTCATTAAAATTCACTTGTGAGTGAGCCAGGATTTTGCAATTGAAACGGAGGTGATTCATTTGCAGTATTCCATCCCGTGTGTTATGGCCCTGCAAGCTTACATTTCAGCTTTAGCATGGCGCATGATTTAAAACAACAACAACGGCTTGCACGAACATAGCGCCCTTTGCGCAGAGTAGCATCTCGACAGTAGCGGAGCCTGGCTCTGAGCCAGGTGGGGAGGGGGGGGCGGGTGGGGGGGATGGGGGAGGTGGTCGTAAACACAGTCGAAGAGGAAGGTTTTCCAGCAGGACTATTTAGCCTGTTGACCTGCAATCTCCACCATTAATCATCCCGTAATGAAAAGCTCCAGAACACGTTAATAACCTATTTACAGAGCACAACAATAACCGGATTTGTCATCTCATTTCCGCCCTGTTGATGCCAAAGGTTTTTTTTNCCTTCTTCCCCCTCCCTCTTCCTCTGCCCCCCAGTGAATTGCCTGTCAGCTCTCTTTGGTGATTGAAAGTTCTCTTGTAATGAGCAAAAAGAGAAGTTGTAACCCACTGAGACACAAGCGCATTTATAATAAAATATAAAGGTTAAAATCTTTTTCCCAGCAACAGAAAGGTGGATCAGCCGTGTGTCCCGTCTTGGGAATGGCTTTGGTTGCTGTTGGATTGGTGTCCATTCCCGGTCGAACTGTCCGAATCGCACATCAGTGAATGGAGCCACCACATGGCACAAGTCCAGAGCCTTGTGTTCATAATAATAATAATCCTTGCATTTGATATAGTGCTTTTCACGTCGGGAGGACATCCCAAAGCGCTTCACAGAATAACTGTAAAGTGAATTGACTGTATATTTGTGGGCGAAACGCGGCAGCCAATTGTGCACAGCAATGTCCCACAAACAGTCGTAGATTGAAAATGACCAATTTATTATTGTTTTTGCTTTTTGGAGGGATTATTATTAGGCTCTGTGTGGAGTAAGGAAACTTGCCCAAGGTTTCGCCCTCTGGCTGGAATTGAACTCAGGTCTCTCGCTTGCAAAGCGAGTGCTCTAACCACTGAGCTACAGGACTCCACATCGCACTTAGAGCTCCTGCTAAACAGCGAGGGTGGTCCGAGCTGGACGAAGCCTGCCAGGCAGCGCTTGCGTTGGCAAGCTGCACGGTTTTAGCTGGTTCAACTCCATCAGTTGCCCCGGTATCTTCTCCTAATTTTTATTACTTCTGTAATTCTTTAGTTGTCAAGACTCCGCCACTGTGAAGCACTCCAGGATGCTACCCCACATGAAGGGCGCTATATAAATGCAAGTTGTTGTTGCTATAATCCTTGCATTTGATATAGCAACTTATCACGTCTTCAAAACATCTCAAAGCGCTTCACAGCATATATTGCGAAGTGGATTGACTGTACATTTTGTGCAGCTACTTCTATTCAAAATGCCCCCACGTACACTGCAACGCATTGTTTCATGTTGCCATGGGTAACAGACGGATGTGTAAGATTGATTTATGTCTGGCGTTTTCTTTCCAAAATTTTCTGCAATTACTTACAGATGTTCTGAACTCTCAATGAATCTATTAATGTCTTAATTGCAGCTGCTAGTTGGCACATAATATGATAGATTTTCCCCCCGAAGGAATACACTCAGTAAAATGATTGTGCTCGACTTATTTCAATCCATTCAATCTCAGAATTTTTTTTTATTTATGCAACAGACTTGTATGTTCACTCTGCAGTTAAGGAGTTAAGCCAATAGAGTAGAATTCTATTACAACACGGGGGAAGGCTTAAATCCAACCAGCCTTATAATAGGGGCATGATTGCCAGTTAGACCTTGTGAATTTCACTGTATGTGTGTGTACAAAAACCTGGCTTCAAAATGCAGGCAGGCAGGCACCTTGTGGGTAGATAATGGCCGACTTCTAGGTCATCGGGTCCCCAACGAGGTAATTTCATGCATGCGGAAGGGAAGTCAGTTCTGACTGGGTGAACTGGAAGTCAGACATTTTTCCTGCTAATTAAACACCCCAATTCCAGCATATGTGAACCTGGGTTTTGCCCACAAAATATAATTCACATTACAGTATATTCTGTGAAGCGCTTTGAGACGTCTCGAGGACGTGATAAGGCTCTATATCAAATGCAAGGATAATTTATTATTATTATTATTCGTCTAAGTGGACCTGGGTTACACTGAAGCATATTAAAAAATGTGAAATTCCAGGCGTGTTTTATGGTGGAGAAAAAAAACACTGGACTCCATCACAAAGAAATGAATTGAATAAATTCCAAGCAACGTCGGGTTCAGTAAAAGGCAGCACATTGAGTGCAACTGCTGAGGATTTGTTTTTGTTGAGTGGGGAGGAAAGAGTGTTAGTGTTAGTAAATTAGCGTCTTCGAATTTTATCCCGGGGTGGGGGGGGGTTGGGGAGGCTTTGTGGCGAAAAGGACTTGGAAAAGAAGATCACGCTGCAAATTAAGGCAACAAATTAAGGCTGAATTACAGAAAATAAACAACAACTGTTAATGGTCATCATTTTAATTGGGCTGCTGTGACCCAGCTGAGCTCTCCAGGGACCGACCGCAGATTCTGTGCTGTTCGCAATATTTACGCAGCATCTTGATAAGGGAGCAAAAGTGAAGAATGCCTAAGTTTTTTTTCTTTGGGATACTAAGTTGTTACCAGCAATTGCGAGGCGAGAGAGAGAGAGAAAGAGAGAGAGATGCGTTAGAAGTGATTTACGGAGGTTTTATTAACCAGGCAGATGGATATCGGGAGACATTAAAAACAAGCAATAAGCAAGTGGTGCGCAATGGAGCCGAGCAATACAAATCGGAGTGAGATACAACAGCCGGCCCTGTGTTGAACTCGTCGTTTTATATCGTAGCAGAACTCCACAAGCACTGGATGTGAAAGAGCTTTGCACAGTACGAGTGCGAGGAACCCGATCGGTTGGCGTGAGGGGGAACAGTTTTCTCAGATAACAGCCTCTGGGAATCGGACCCACGCCAGCAAATGCCTCTTCTTATTCCAGAAAGTGGGGGAACCAATCCCATTCTAAAGCCTGGCACAAAGCACTCACGGCCGTTAGCAAACAGCCTCTCTGCTTCAAGCTATATCGGACATTCTCTTGAAATCTCTTCGCCTTGCACCTACCGCTCTCTTTTTGATCTTTGGGCAACATCCTCAAACTCCCACTCCCCCCCCCCATGCTACTTGGCGATCTGCATCATCTCCGTGAAGCCCATCGAGATGTTATTCCTACTCAAAAACACCACACGAGCCTAAGCTGATCTTGTTAAAGGACGTGCTTCAATTGCTATGTTCACCTCATTGTTGTTGACACTTCAATGCAGTTTACTCTGCTTGTTTTATTGAAGGGCAGACATTGTACGAGATCAGTGCACAATCTCTCGATCTTTCTCTCTGCAGACACAGCCAAGGTTTCAAAGATTCAAAGAGTCAACTCGCGTAACCATAGCGACGGATGGCCAATGCAGTCTGGCCCTTATTAGTGAACTTAAAAATATATATTGCTGAAACTCAAGTTTTACACTTCAAAATAGTTTTGGGGAAACCTTTGCGGAACAAAATACTTGTAAAGAGTTTCGCTGCCACCAGACATGCTCATTAAATAACCTGGTTTGTACCACATCACAGTGCAATGTGGTTCATTAGTGCATTACATTGCAGTTGCTCTTGCGAGATTAGCACATTACTTTAAGAGATGGCTCAGGCTGATTAAATACTACAATCAGGCACAGCCTTGCCATCTCAAGGCTAATCTTACTTAATATTAAATAACCACCACCACGAAATCACACAGCGCCTTTCACGTCGGAAGGATGTCCCAAGGTGCTGGACAGGTGAGGGTTTGCAACCGAGCTGGG